TACCACAGTCCCGCTGGCGTGTGATTGTGAAGCTGCATGATACTGTACCATCAGCAGAGTACCACAGTCCCGCTGGCGTGTGATTGTGAAGCTGCATGATACTGTACCATCAGCAGAGTACCACAGTCCCGCTGGCGTGTGATTGTGAAGCTGCATCATACTGTACCATCATCAGAGTACCACAGTCCCGTTGGCGTGTGATTGTGGAGCTGCATGATACTGTACCATCAGCAGAGTACCACAGTCCCGCTGGCGTGTGATTGTGGAGCTGCATCATACTGTATCATAAGAGTTATGGCTGTGCTGGTTTTCAGAGTCTCACAGACATGTAGCTCATGTTGTGGGGACCTTCCCTTCTTACACATGTGCCTCTTCTTTTTTTTCAGCGCCGGGGAACATTTCAGTGAAAGTGACTGACATCCAGGACAGGAGAGCCCGCGTCAGCTGGACCTCTGTCCCACGAAGCCACTGTTGTGGGTTTGTCCAGAACTACACCGTGTTCTGCAAGTCCAAGACTGGGCCCGAGTTTGGCAAGTCTGCGAAGATCCTAATTGTCTTTATCATTTTGTGCCCTCGAGCCCGGCAGAACGGCGTGATTCTTTATTTATGCTCATGTGTTTTAACATTCAGGTGTCACCGTGAACAGCAGTGTCGAGGAAGTCGTTTTGGAGGACCTGGACCCAAGCAAGAACTACAAAGTTCATGTCATGGCCAGCTCAGCTGGTGGCACCACCAACAGCACCCTCAACATCTTCACCACGCACAGATACGGTAAACGTCCTTACAGATACGCTAAACGTCCTTGTTTTACTCACAAGGTTGGCATGTCCTCCTAATGGGTTTTAAACAGGGGGCGGAGCCACAGGGTCACTGGTCCCAGCTGAAAGCTGATTGGTGCCCAGAGTGCCCCCTTCCCTGTCACTCATTGATTCAAAACATACGATTGGTAATAATAAGATTGGCCCTTCTTTCAATTATGCCCTCCACAAAAAAAACAGAATAGCCCCTATCCTTGCTTTGACATTGAGTTGTTGCATGTGAGATGTTGTTCTCATTGTGCTACCTGACTTGCGCACGGAGCACATGTACCGCGTGTGTTTGTTGCGTCGCCCTGCAGATTCTCACACAGTCTCCACCTGCCTGTCCTTTCAGGAACCACCTTCCTCAAGATGCTTGGTGTTTTAGGAGGATTTGGACTGATATTGGTCATAGCAGTTTGTCTGTGTTGCGTTGTCCTGTAAGCTCCCCATTTTTGATTACATTACTGTCTGAATTATCACTTATGTATTTTTAATTACTGGTGTTAGTTAACCAACCTGTACAAAACCCTGTGGCTTATTATGTATACCTTACAATAATGTAATTTTTAAGGTCAGTGAGCATAGCAGTTAGTACTTAAGAGATTTGTATTCTTTTATGCAAGCATAAAAGAATAAAAGAATACAATGTATAATAATCAGCTTGCAGTGCATTAACCTGCTTATACTGCAGTTACTACATATTTGGCTTACACATTTGTACCTAAAGACATTATCTTTAATTCACAGGATGAATAAGTACTTCACGAATGTGCCCAGTCCAAAGTTCAGCACTCTGGTTCTGTGGTTCAATGAGCCTCTCAAGGTTTGTGAGCATCTGTACACGTTTCTCTCTAGACCTGGGGTACCATGGGTCACATCCAGTTCTGTCCAGCTCGTGATGTGTTTATTAATTTTTAAATCGGGCTTGCCATTGGATTGATCGGTCTCCACAGAAAATAAAGATCCTAGCTCAATTAATGTTACTGCTGCCCCCCACCCTGGTTGACTGATTTTCTCACCGCCCCCATATCAGCTGAAGACCACCTAATCAGTGTCCCCCAGTTATTTCAGTTTGAGACCCCTGCTCTAGACCCTCTCTGTAAACCACAGGGTTCTGCCGTAATGACAGAAATGTCCTCTGTGCGTCCATTTAGTTGATTCCTCATCTTTGTGGTCGCTCACAGGACGAGATGCAGCGCAGCATCTGTACACCCTCTGCTGAGAGCTACTTCCACAAACTGGAGATCCATCCATACAGCTTTGATTCCACGATTATGGACATCAGTCCCTCACCTCCGGAGACCCCTGCTGGCCAGAATGAGCAGCCGCACCCTGTCTTTGAACACATGAAAGCCGGCCTCGTCGCCCCAGTGAGAGCCAGCATGGTGCCCTCCATGTTTGTCGGTCCATCCCAGGCCTGTGCGGCCTCTGCTGAGAGTGACGACCGAAAGACTGCCGGCAACACACCAGCCAGCCAGGAACCAAGGGACTGTAATTCCACTAGACCCTGTTGGGGAAACTTTTTAGGGAAAAATGGATATGTTGGAGAAGAATCACTGCCTACTAAGGAGACACAACCATTTCTGGAACCACCTAAAAATACACCACAGGCCTATGTCACATTGGATTTATTTGGGCAGTCGGCCAATGGATGAATATAATTATTATTAACACGTAAAGACACAGACAGCAAGTGCATACGCAGGTGCACATTGCTTTGACAACTAGTATACGTTCCATGTAATTTTGTCATATATGGTAAATACACTGTTAATATAGTTGCTTAGTGTAGGACAGTATTACTGTACTGTTAGATGGGTCAATCACAGTGGTTTATGAGTCTGTTCAGGAGTAAAGCAGCAGCTCGTCTTGGGGTTGAATAAGTGACCCCTTGGGCAGAATCTGCATGATCTACCTTCAAGTATGGAGGAGAAATCCATCCATCTTTCATAACTGCTTTTCTAGTGCAGGATCCTGGTTAGGGTTGGGAGAGAAGGTAGGGGACACGCTCCTCCACAGCTGGGCACGTGGTCTTGCACCATGGGGAGTTTGGAGGTAGATTCTCTGACTCCTGTGGGCCATGGGAGGAACCTGTGGGAACTCAAAGGATCTTGGTGAAAGAGAGAGGGAAAACACAAACTCAGGGGAGGAATAAATAAAATATATTAAATAAAAACACTGTATCTATATCTGTGTTCATAATCTGTCAAAAAGCCCTGAAAATGTGCAGAAGCCTTGCAGTTCAGAACAGAAGACAAATGGGCAAATATGTAGCAGTTTGGCTTCATATGATTTACATTTATCACAAATGGGAGATTTGTCTGGGAAAATACTGCAGCATCGTCTTGGTGCAGCCTTGGTGCTTGTTTTGTTTCTTCCATAGGTGTCTGTGTTAATCGTAAGGTGGAATACAGATTAGATAAAATATTGTATTAGCTACCTATATGATATATGGCTAATTTTAAACATATTTATTGTGCTTATTTCAGTAGCTTCAGTGTGAACATGTAATATTAAAATGTCATGATCTATCCATTTTCTGGATACATGTTCACGGTGCAAGTTTTATTTTCAACTTTTCATTAAGCTTTATTCAGGAGATCAAGCAGCTATACTGTTATACAATTACCCATTTTAGCATATAAACGTATAAAAGCACTCTGCAGTACATTTTCAAACGATACATTCAGTGCAGATTAGTGTTTCACAAGTTCCGTTTGTCCCTGCTCAAGCTGAGACAGGTTTAGAAAGTGAAATTCACATTTAAGCCTTAATCTACCAGTAAATATCCATCCTGTCTTTTTTTTTTGTGTGTGTGTGTGTGTGTCTTTTTTCATGACTTTGACCAAGGTTCCCTGCCTTACTGACATTTTGTGAAAGTGAAACAGGAACTCCAGCTATGACTTTCTGCTTTGAGAACTTGCATTGGACTATGCTGTGTTCTGTGGGAAAAAAATGCTATTATTGTACGCATGTATACAGGAATGTAGTCCTTGTAGGAGTCAGTTTGAAGACATGCTACGTCTGGTATAAAAATGGCCACCCTGTAAGTTGGAGTGATTCTCATCTGTCCATGTTTGTGACCTTTATTCTGTCGTATTAAATGTTGATGGTCTTTCCACGTCTGCTTGTCACTCCCCCAGCAGTCCGTAGCCTCCCCCTCTTTATATTTCAAACCTTGGTTCCCAGAATATCTCCTGCAGCTGGGGCAGAGGTCAGAGACGCCTTCCTGCCACGCCCTGAAGCTGAGGCAGAGGTCAGAGACACCTTCCTGCCACGCCCTGAAGCTGGGGCAGAGGTCAGAGATGCCTTCCTGCCACGCCCTGCAGCTGGGGCAGAGGTCAGAGACGCCTTCCTGCCACGCCCTGAAGCTGGGGCAGAGGTCAGAGACGCCTTCCTGCCACGCCCTGAAGCTGGGGCAGAGGTCAGA